TCTTGGTAGCTGGCATTATTGGCCTGACTGTTGAAGGATATGGATCTACCTGATTCTGTTGCCCTTACACTTTTGAAAGCTATGAAATCAACTTCTTGCAAAGTCTACCATCGCACCTGGAAAGCATATTGGCATGATGGAAGGAAATTCCATCTCATGAAGTGCTCCATTAGACACTCCTGTCTTTTCTGCAGTCTGAGCTGGATCAACATCTGGCTCTGAGTACCATCAAAGGTCAAATTTCAGCCCTAGTGATTCTTTTTCAAGGACTACTTGCGTCTCATTTTCAAGCCTTTGCATAGGGTCTCATTCACATTGTTCCCCCCTGTACGTTCCCAGGTGATACCATGGGATCTCAGCCTGGTTCTGTTTGTTCTTCAGAAAATGTCCTTTATACCTATCAGGGTATTCTTTTGTCTACTCTTGCTCACAATTTTGCCTTCCTCATTCTAAGGTCTCTTCCCAAGGTGATTTCTTCCTTTTACCTTAACCAGGACATTGTTCTCCCATCTTTCTGTTACTACAAGACATCTAAAGAAGAGTTTCATCCACTGTCTGGATGTAGTGCGCACTGTTTGGATTCACCTTCCAGCTACAGTTTCTTTTAGATTGACTGAAAGTCTTTTTGTAATTCCTGAGAATTCCCATAAGGAACAGACTGCTTCTTGTTCCACTAACTATAGGTAGATTTGGCAGCTCATGATTCAGGCATATAAGCTTAAGGACAAGGCTCCACCCTTTACTGTCAAAGTGCAATGCATTAGATCAGTAGGCTTTTCAGCATCAGGCATGTTTCTCAGATTTGCAAGGCTGCCATCTGGTCTTCTGTTCACAGGTTTGTTTTACCAGGTGGATGTTCAGGCCTCATCTGATACCAGTTTTGGTCATAAGGTTCTTTAAGCATCTCTGTGGGCTCTATTGAGCCTCATTTGTTGACCTGGTGATATTTTGGGCCTGTTAGCAATTTTTTTTTCTTTGATGACCACCCATTAGTTGAACTTCTTTTGGACATAGCAGTGTTGGAGTTATTTTATCTTCTGCCCCCTAATGAACAATTAAGAAAACTTAATTTTTACCTTACCATAAAATCCTTTGCTAGGCGTTCACTAAGGTTGGTACAAAAAACGTTGTGAGCCAGCCAGAGGCATTGTTCATGAGGCCGGCTAAACAACCCCCTTCTCTTTCCTCTAACCCTGTGGTAGTGGCACTTAGACAGTCAGAACCTTTCTCTTACCTAAGCCATCGAGCTTGAAGTCAGAGGTCCTCTAATTCCTCTGCACAGTCGTCTGTGTCCAAGGGGGGGAACCCATTTCTGCACAGATTCAGGTCTGCCTGTAACTGTGTGTAGCTGCATGTAGCCACGTCTTGCCATAGAAGGAGTAGGCTGCAGCATTCAATTACACTTGTCCCTCCTGGGATCAGGTCTCAGCATAAGCATGCATGCCATGTGGATGTGCACGCCCATGTGGATGTCCCCTTAATATCAAGTTAAAGCTTATTTCCAGGCATGACCAAAATTGACCTACCCTCAAATCTTTCACTTCCCCTCCAGAGCATGCCCCAGCAATCATTTTTTTGTTTTATCTTGTCCCCGTAGTGGGAAAGCTTTCATTACTCTGGGAGAAAGGATCAGCAGGGTGATCACCATTGATTACTATAGACATAGACATGCACCCCAAAACTACATAGCCCAAAAGCTCTATGCACTTAAAAATTATGTGGGTAGTCTCCAGTGAGTCAAGGCAGCATTGTTGGATTGGAAAACAATTAAGTCAGCCGTACAGACACACCGTAATAGAACTGGTGTGCTTAGCTAAAAGGCAACTCCTAGGATGGACATAAACAAGGATGAATTATGTAGACAAGGGGAGGTGGAGTTATGAAGTCCAGCATTTGATTACTTTGGCAGGGCGTATAATGCTGCTTGGGATTTCAATCCAGCAGTGCTAACATTCTCAGTACACACCTAGAATTTACAAGCTCAGTGGATTTCTTGCAGGATCAACATGTATTTTTCTGTACGCTCCTTGTTTTTAAAAGGGATACAACATGGGAAAGTGTTCATGTATTGGGGAGATGTACGTTTTGATTTTTTTATGTGCCTCACATACTTATTTTATATTTTTGTTATTGAACTTATTTTAATGGAGCCACTAGAGAATAGAATATCTACTACAATAAACTGCCTTAACTGTTAAAATATGTTATTGGACATATAAAGGTTGCACTGTTTTTAATGAACCAGTTGACTTAAAAACTTGCATTGTCCATTCACAAGCTGGAAAGATGTATTGATGGATTAACAGTGGGTTACTGGGGGCAGAGCGTTCTGTTTCAGGTTTTTCTTTTTTCTGACCTCTATAGGTTGAACTCGATGGACTGTTGTCTTTTTTCAGCCTGACTAACTATGAAGCAACAAGTTGTATCACTTCTAACTATAGAAAAGTAAGGTTAGCATTGTTGCCCAATAGGGATTGCAAAGCCAGCTGAACAAACATACACATTTTCCTAGCACATAGGACACCCACACTTACATATTTCAGCAATTAATTAAGTTGTTTGCCTTTCATATGATTCAAGTGATCTTTTTTACATGTACACTGTAGCTACAAAAAACAAATACTATACAATAGAATTTTCCCATAAAGATTTGTGTTCAGTAGTCCCAGGCAGGATATAAGGAATGATTTAAAGCCCAGCTGGAATAACATAAGATATACAGTCAAGAAGACATTGTACAAACAACCTCCATTTCTATAGGCATACCTCTGTTTAATTGATAACACTAGTTGTGCAGTGTGTCTAGATAGCACTGTGCAGTATAATAGGCGCAAGAGTTGGACCCAGTGCTTTCAATAATTTACACAGAACTGGTCTAACACCTCCAATCCTTCTCTGCAATACAAGTCTGAGTGAATGTACTTGTGCTGAGGTGTGTGGCTGTTACTCAGCTCTGCCAAGATAAAGAATTAGAGAGGGAGAACAGTAGGCAGCATTTTCTTTGGAAAAAAAAAAAAGTATTTGCATTATGTTTCTTGACAACTGGGTAACTGTAGAAGTGTATTGTAAATGCTTACTGTATGCACGGATCATTAAACTGGCATTCACAAACTGAAGCTCATGTAAACTAAGCCTAGAAGAAGAAAACAAATTACAGTTAGTGCTATTTGGCTTCATCTTTTATTCCCT